TCTTTCACTTTCTGATTTTGTGATTTACCTTTGGAATGATTGAGTGTGATTTTACTGAGGGTCTGACAAAAACAGGCGCTGCCTTAAACTTTTAAAGGAGACACTTCTCTCTTTCATCACCACCTTTTTCCAGGTCAGTACACTGAGCGTGCCTTGGCACTTGTCAAACTACTAGGTTTTAAGTACTTATTTAAAAAATAAGCTCAACTGTGAAAGTTACCTGTTCTCTTGAGCAGATCTGGTTTTCATGGCTTTCCATTCACTTGTGAGCACACCTTTTTATGCAGAGACAAAGGAGGCAGGCTTTTGCACTCACCAAGGTGCGAAATTTATCAAGATGAAACTTAAAGCAATGTCTGCATACCTACAACCTTGCAGGTGATCCACTACTACAGGTCATCACTGAAGGATGAGCTAGAAGTAAATTATTAGACAAGTCATTTGCTGTACATTAAAGGTACTTGCTTTTTCTTTTTCTTTAAGGCAAACAAAACAAAGCAAGCTGTAAGTTGTTTGCTGCTTCTTAGGGTACAGTCTATTCATGTGTAAACATCTCTTCCCCATGATTTGCGCCTACACTCCAGCAGCCATTGCTTGAGACAGCTAAACAAAAGAACTGTCTCTTCCACTTTTTTCATGGTGCTTAGATCATCCACTGAAGCCATTAATATCTTCCTCTAAAATGTGCCTCAATCGTATAATACAAAATCACAGTCATTACAATTTGAGATGCTTTTTAATGAAGTTTCCAGTGTCAGCCACCAGTCAGGATTCATAACAACTTTAATGTCTGTATGTCACAGTATTTGGAGTGACAAACGCAGATTTTCACCTTTTTTCAGATTCACAAAAGTGCTTTTAATGATACAAGCGGTCACCCAGCTTACAGGATTATCTTTCAGACATTCCACTTCCATTTCAAATGACAGCCCTGTCCTTTCTGTTAAGAGTCTCAAAAGAATGTAAAGAGTGGCAAAGGACTTTCCGGAGTTCTTTTTAAAACCATCTCAGAGCAAGGCTTACCGTGACACCATCAGCCAGTCTGACCTACTTGGAAATTCTCACATTCTGACTGGAAAGCCCTCTGGACTTTGAACACTTTTTTCTGTCTCAGGTCAACCTTTGTTGCTGAGAATATGAGGACAAAACCAGCTGCTTTTAGTGTGCGACCTGTACATTTTCCGTGCTCTGACTCCTACCTCAGCATTCATAACTGATGATGGTGTGCAGCTTTAGAATTAAAAAACTGAAAACAAAATGTCAAAAACTGAGCTGCATTAAAAAGATGAGAGAGGGAAAATTATTTTCAAAGGAAAAGGATGTGCTCTCTGGAAATTGCAACAATTTTCAAGGTTGAATTAGAGAAAAGACTCTAAAAGAATTTTTCAGCATTGTTCGGAATAAACAAGAGATGACATCTGATTAGTTCCAGCAGAACTGGAATAACAGCGCTTCTGAAGGAAAATGAAAATCTGCATGAACTTGAAGGAAGGAAGTCAACGATAAGAACATTCACAGAGGAAGAGCTCAAAGGAAAGATGACAGCTAATTTGATCGCTCTAGATCTGCAGTGCTCATTCTCCCTTTATTGCCTGCACCCCGAAAGTCCCTGAGCACGCATCTGCTAAGGGCTTCTTATTAGTCTCCCCACTTTGATCTCCTTTTCACAGCTTCCCTTTACAGCCTTTTGAGGAGGTGCTCGTAACAGACTCAAAGCAGAGCACTAGCTATTTATTCTGCCTTTCAAACGTTTTACCCAAGGAGTGAAAGAATATTTCTTATGCAACGCTACAATAATGTGCAAAAGGAGTCTAAAAAAACTGCAGCAAGGACTAATCCTAACTCTTAGTGAACTGAATTTGCTGCTGCTGTGAAGAGGAAGGCGTGAAGACGTTACTCAAACAAATGTGTGCTACTTCTCTTCTGCGCTCCAGGGTTGAGGCTGGAAGGCATTCGACAACAGGTGCCAGTTCGGGGGTCAGACAGTGTCACCTAAATGAAAGCCAGAACACTGCGTAATTCAAACAACTTTTAAACACCCTCAGAGGCCCCTCAGCCCGTTTACCAGACTTGTAAAAATGCAGTCCTGCTCCTCCTGCCCTTGCTTATCTCAGACACCGTATCAGTGGCTTATACGACACCTGTGCCTTTCCTCCAGTTCCCTCGCCATGTCCCTTTTGCACATTTCCGTACGCCATCAGTTCTGCCTTCCCCACCAGTTTTGTTCACCCCACTCTCCTCCACCTTCCTGTCCCCTTCCCCCAGCCGCGTCCTGAGGTTCTTCCCTCCTGCCCATCATCACGTGCTTGAGAGGCCGCACCAGGACATCCTTTCTCTCCTCACATGTTCAGTTTTGAAAGAGCCAGAGATGAAGACAAGGGTTTAAGTGGACATGGGAGGAGAGAAACCCAGAGGATCTCAGGGGAAAATGGGAAGACACTAAACCTGTTGCTTTTTAGTCCCCTCCTTCCTCCTCTGGTGTAAGGAGGTTGGGCTGGAGACTGCCTGAGGTCCCTTTCAGCCCAAATTACCTCAGGATCACATTTTTTTCCTTACCATTCTTACCAATGTCTCCCCATTCTCGCACTGTTTCCTATAGGTTGGATCATACTTGCAAGACAAGGTAAGCTCTACTCAACAGAAGTTGAAATCTTATAAAAGCCTCTTAGGTTTACTTGTTCTTGGTGTTTTGTAAAGGTAACTTGAAAGATGGAACCTCCCAGGGTGCTAACACCAAACTCTTAAGAGAGCTGTGGGATAGCTGTGGGTAATAAAATAGTAAGTCACAGTTTAGCCATCCAAGGAAAAGAAAAAAGGGAGGTTAGAAGCAGCAAGAACAATAGAATTAAATTACAGGAGAAAGGAAATTAAACTGGGGTCACAAGGAGCAGGGCTGTCCCTATCAACAAGATCTGTGAATTACTGAAGGGGAAGAGTGCCAGACAGTGCCATCGCTGGAAGTGTCTCAACACTGACTAAAACGGCCTTAGCAATTCTGCAGTGATTTGAGATAGATACGTCTCTTCATCTGTAAGTTGCTGTTCTCTAGTAAGAAGAAAAAAAAAACAACCATAAACAAATTGTCAGAGGTTTATTTTATAGACTGTATTAAAACATCCGTTTCTGAAAAGCTTTAAGTTATTACCACAGATAAGCAATAAAGCCTCAAAAGTCCCCGAATCAAGAAAGTCAGTATTTTTCTCTGATTTTTTTATAAGATGGTAACAAACAACGGAAACAAATGCTTCAGACTTACCCAACTAAATATAAAAAATTCCATATGGCCTGAAATCATTCAGAAGCTAATGTTCACAACTATTCCTATTAAATCTGAACTGCTTGGTGCAGTATAATGGCTGGAGAGGCAATTTCAGAAAGCTTCAGGAGGGAAAAGCTATATAAATGTAAGGGATGGAGGTTATGAAGTATTAACATGATGCTAAATTGCCGCATATCATATTTGCAATGGGTAGTTTACAATCTGTTCATCCTGATGGATTTAGCACAAGGGAGTCCGAAGTCCTGGCTCTGCAATTTCTGTCTCTGCCTGGTAATTGATGGTTAAATTGTATCCACAAATAACGTGTTGGCACCGAATGAGTTTGGGACCCTGCTCAGCCCAAACAGCTCCATTACACTCGGAGGAGCAGTAATAAATGGAAAGTAAGGAAAGTTCCGGGAGATAATGAGTCTGAATGCTAATGACCTAAGCTAGTACAAAAGATAGAAATGCAATTTATCAAAAAGTATGAAACCCATTTGGCGTCTTAATGAGTTACTAAAAAACAATAATAACAATTTTGTGGTTTGAAGCCAAAACACTATTTTTCCACATTTTTTTTCTTTATCCACTAAAATGTTGCAGAATTTATTAAAGTCTTCCTGGTTTACTGCAGGAGTTAAAATGTACTGCAGAATTCTCTCCTTCTATGACCCTTCGGCCACCTTCCTCAACAGCCAGAAATTGTATCTTTTAAGCACCTTAGTCACCTAGAGCATTAAATAGGGAGAAAACTGTGCTTGTTTCATGGAAGTAGAGGATCATTTCTATCTTTAAACAGTCTTTCTTATCCTATGGAGGATACAAAATAAATTTCTTCTCAGATAAAAAATGAAATTATTGCAAGGATTATCTCACATCCATATGATTAAGTATAAATTGTGAACTGAAAATTGATGTGAGATCTATACTCTCCTGCTGAGGTTGATTCTACAGCAAAATGTGTTTGTCCATCATTCATATTTTCTTAATACGACATAATTCTGATGATAGATCAATGGAGCTTCTCCACTAAAATGCATAGTTGGCATTTTCATGAAAACATGGGTAACATAGCTCCACAAACTAGAAACAGAGATGCTTTCTTCTGTGGTGTGTGATGTGTCTTCTTTCAGTAGCCATATTTCACACAGCAACATCTGAAACTAAAGAAAACAATTTCAGAAAAAAGAGGAGGTTAAAAAAGCAGTCTTTTCCAATTTATCTTAAATGTCATTCTTTTGACTTTCACGGTAATCAATTCTCCTCTTTATCGCAAAAGAATACAGTCTAACTAAGAGGCAGACAAAACAGAAGATACACATCAGACTGGAGCAAAAGACCTAAGAAAGGTACCTGCCCACAGGAGGGCGGTTTAGGTACCTGCCCACGAGTGTGATACGGGCACCTGAGCAAGAAGCACTGGACCTCATTCGCTTGCAGGGAAGTTTGGCAGCCTAAGAGCGGGCAGAGCCAGAGGCTGCCCTAGAGAGCGTCCGCCACATCCACCAGGCTGAGGAGCACCCCATAGGGATGTCCCTGAAGTGTCTCAAACTGGCTTTCTGCAGAGTGGCTCCATCTATGGGGGGTTCGGTCTGGAACTCTCTTCTAAAGGTAGGTGGTGATTGCTCTCTTTCCTTCAAATAACTGAGCACACTCTCTTCTTCCCTCCTGGCAGCAAGATGAGGGGAGAAGAGTTTTGTGTGATGCCTGCCTCTGCTCCAGAATCTTTTGCTCTCTGTTAGCTCCCGGGCATCTCTTCATGAACTACTCCACCTGCAGCAGAGAGTTCAGAAGTAAATTTGGGGTATTAACAAGGTCTTACTGCAGCTGAGCCAAAATAAACTAAATTACCCTAATGGAAAAAAAATTAAAATAGACTGATTCGAACAACCAGCTGCACGGAAGAATTTGCAAACCTGTGCCCAACTGTATTTCCCATACTATACTTGTATACAGTAGGACAAATTTGGAACTAATGAAAAATACTCCTCAGTAATCATCAATGAGACTTCTGAAATGTGGACTGCAGCTCCCGAAGTAGCACACAATGAGGAACCCTGAAATATGAAAATACCCAGATCCCAGTCAAGCTTATCTTTAGTTTTTAGGGAACTATACAATGCTGGGGCTAAAAGCACAGGATTTCTGTACTTCTTACGCTCACACTGAGTGAAAAAGGAAATGTAGCTTGTCTCCCATTCTGGTAGTTCATGTAGCTGCAGGCCCAATAACAACATCTGTCTCCCTTTTCCTTTACATCATAAGAACTGGGATAAGAAGCGTTTCTTTGGCTGTGAAATCATACTGGAGGCAGCAGCTGCTGAAGTGAGCTAGAAAATGACAAGTGTAGGCAGGATACAATGCATCAAAAATTGATGCCGGCTAATGGAACAGGGGGGTTAAACAGCCTGCACAGTGCCCATTACAGTCCACTTCTGCAAGCAAGCAGGAGTGCTTCCCTTCAAAAACCTCCAAGTGCCTGTTTCGGAGAGAAACACATCCTGGCATGCGTTTTATGCAGAGCCCAATAATTGTGCCAAGTACCCTGCAATGTGCTCAGCAATCTGATTCTGTGAGCTCTTCATACCGAGAGGAGTTTTCGTTTTAATGTATGATTAAGACTTGAATCTATTATGGAAGCAGAAACAGAGGAGGAATTATCTTTCATGATATTTAAAAAAAAAAAAAATGTAATTGAGTGACTGCATGCAGTCCTGAAAACAATTTAAAGCTGCATGTGGGCATAAATCTTTTTTCATCGTTGTCTACAGGAATTCATGAAAGCATAAAAAATGATGTCTTACAAAAATGGCCAACTGGCAAACCCAGTATGTCAGTACTAGTAGGAACTTCTGCATTCAGCAGCATCACACCGGATTTTATGATGACTTTAACCACAGTGCTATCACTTCTGAGCACTGAAACGATGCTCTTCAGAAAAAGTGTCAAAAGGATAATTGGAAGGATCCCAGCAATTTAAAATCACACCTACTGTTCTTTACAAATACATGCATGATTTATAAAAACAGCTTAACTGTAATCTTCCTCTCGCTCCTGAGTACACTTGGTACGTGCCTTTGCTAGAAGGTTTTGAACTACAAGTTTCACCGTTTCCCCTGCATAATTTGTATCTTCTGTTGTTTGTGTGGGTGTCTTGCTCGAAGACAGAGGGATTCTTTTAAATATGAAAACATTTTTGTAAAGCCACAATCACAGAAGGAAAAGCAGGCAAAGAATATTTTTAGTTGCCCTTTCTGTTTGCGCTACTAAGTTCTGCAATGATGATGTTTGAAGACCTCTTCAGGAAGGCAGCAGGGACCTGAGCCAAAGCCCAGCTAATACCTGAGGTGGACCTGCATTGAATTTTCCTGGTATTAGATCGGGACTCTGCACAATTAAACCTCTAAAGTGCTAGGGGAGGGTACCCTTAGAAAATGACAGCAGGGATGATACTCTGAACGTAGCTGGACAGGAATCAGCCTCTCATACACTTAGTTACTTACTGATCCCTTGTGCCAACCACCCCACATGGGAGGTTTCATGTCCACATGCTTTTAGATTGTAAGAGAGAAAGGGGACCCATCAACTTCTTTTATTTCACAATTTCTGTGAAAGAGATTTTCAGCTTTTTAGCCATCTACATGCTTCCCCTGTGCATCCTCCCTGTCAGTTACCTGTCATCTTACGTTCCAGTTTTATAATCCATTTCACCTGAAGATAAGATTGTGCCTTAAATTCTATACTCGCTGGGAGACCAACTTGTCTTATCTAACTCTACAGTGACACTGTCACTCAGAAAGAAATGCAGAGCCATGAAGCGCCTTACATGCTCACGGATCTCAAAGCTCTTTACAAAAAGAGGTGGAAGTGCTGATGGCGAAAGGCAGTGTACTAAAAATCGCTGGCAATTGCTGATGTGGAACTTTCATTAGCTTTTATGCAGCCTTTGACACGTCCACCAGTTTTATTAAGAGAATTAGTGGGAGGCAAGACACTAAGATTGTTTCATCTTGTCCTTGGACCATTGACTGTCAAAGAGACCGATGCAGTAAATAAAGTGTTTGGGGGAATAGTGACCAATTTGTGTGAATTTGATCCAACAACAGCTAGGAGCATGACACTGGACACTTCTTACCAAAAAGTGAAAAAGTCCACAACAGTTGGCTTTAAGACACTGAATTTTCCTTCTCTCTTTCCTCATGAAATGGTAGCACTTCATCCAGGAACTGTCAGGTCTGTATCTGTCTCCAATTTCCCCAAATAAGAGAGAACACTGTTCTGTCCCTCGTCATTCATGAAATCCATTAATGCTCCTTTTGATTCAGAGAATACAATGCTGCTTCCCTTCAGAGAACACAATGCTGCTTCCCCTTAAACAGGCAGAGGACAGAAGTACTGCAGGAGAGGGCTCGCAATTACTCTTCACGCTATTCACACATGATTTTTATTCTGCCCTGACCACTGTAAGATTGAAGGCACCTTCAGTATGGAAGAGGCCAGCGAGACCTGTGCAGCCAGCCTGCCTGGACTCCACCGGGGAAAGACAGACTGCCACCAGGGCAGGACAGACACAGAGGGAAGTCACTCCTTGGGACAGGCTTTCTTAAACCTCCAAGGGCAAGTTTAGCCAAAACCTTCCCTACGTAACAATGATTTCAGGGCTAACCATCAGCAAAATCACCTTGCTGAATGCTCTAATACCTTCAGATAGGCTGTTCACCATAGGTACAGGTGTTTTAATGGGCATAGTGATTTGACTCTTATTTGCCCACTTTTATTTCTACCTCTAATAATTCTTTGCCCCCACTGTTTTCAGACAACAGCCATTGAATCAAGTACATTCAGAAATGTGAGCCCTTTTATGGTTTCACATGCTGCATTTTTTTAAGTAAAGGGAGCTATTAGCCTTGCTTCAATATAGAAATTCTGTATTTATCCTTCTAGTCTGCTCTCCCAGACTTCTTGCTATCAGTCCAGGTTCTCGTTTCTGCCTTTTCATCTGTCACAGAAGAGAGTATTTACTTTAAAAAAAAAAAAAAAAAAAAAAAAAAGCAGACCCAGATATACATCCCACAGCACTTTAGAGCTGCTAAAAATAATAGCTGATGTAAGTTTGGCTTTTAAAGTTTAAAGTACCAGTTGATGCAAGTAGTGTTTTGTAAGTTAAAAGCACTACACAATCTCTGTTTTAGCTGAGGATAGACAATTATTACCATGGTGCAAATTAGTAATGAGGTGTCATCAGCAGAGACAGAAAAAGTTGGGTCTCCAGAGCCTTATCCTAACGTGCTGTTCCCTGAAGAGCATTGCCTCAGAATGCAAATATTTGCCCTGAATAAAATGTTCATACTTCCCATCTAAATAAACAGCAGCCTTGAAATTTAGAGTAATTTTGACAGCACTAAGGAAATATATCTACAGCTATCATATGTAAAGTGAGGACTGTCTTAAAGCACTTGAGAGACTTGGCTCATTCATTTTTTCCAGAACAGTTGCTAATATGGTGGTTTAATGAAAGATGGCAGAAACAGAGGAAGATTCTTAACTTCAGCACTCAAATGTAATAATAACAGTTACCGTGAAAATACACAGAGACATTAAGTGACCTATGCTGAAAATATTCCCCTTTGGCAAAGGTACGAGTGCAGAAGTTGGTACATTTTTCATTAGCTGAATTAACTGTCAGTGTGATAGTAACCAATGAACAGTAAGTAATGGAGCATGTGCGTGCATCTCTGTGTGCCCACACACACATAGATGTATAGATATACACACACACGAGTGAGCCTTGCTTTTCCATTTCCTCCTCCTTACAGCTGCTGTTATACCTCCCACACCTACTGTGTAGCTAGCCTCCTTACACAAAAATCAAATAAACACTCTGTGCTATGGTTAATGCTTTCTCTGAGTGCAGCTCCAGCTAGCTGGAAATGAGGAAAAGCATAACTCAAAAGTAGTTTGCCTGTCCTCATCTTGCCTGTTTGATCCAGGGCAGGCATTGAGGTAACTCTACCAACCGGACTGAAGCCAGATTTGAAGCAGAGAAGGGCAGATGTAAGCACTATCTCCAGTGGAGCTCTCCCAGGTTTTCTAGCTCCAGCTAGAACCCTTCCTTGTTTGAGGCTGTGGTATCGGTGGCCTGAAATGCATGGGCCTCAGGGGAGCAAGTGGTGGCATGATACAGAGATGATGCTCTTTGATCAAGAAACTCCTGGTACACACTTCTTATCTCCACCCCACCTCCTTCTTGGGAAAAACCAGGTTCTGTCAAGTTGATGGAGTCTATAACTGTCAATTCTGGGAATTTAATCATCTTGGTGTTTTCAGTCTCAGCACTCAGCTGTTCATGTGCAGCACTTCTCTAATGCAGCCAGCTCCTCCCTGTTGAGCAAACTAGTCTTTAGCAGCATCCTAGAGACTTTATAGAGACAACCCTAACACTCATGGCAAAAGTAGACCACAATCTCCTTCCACGGCCTAAGTACCCAAAAGAACTTCTAGCTGCAAGCTTTCCTGTAACTGCAGGGTCGTTAGCCACTGAGCCACCCACGAACACAAGTAGTAATGAGTTGAATCTGACCTTATCAGATGAAGGGGGAAGTGTTTCTTTGCCAGAAGTGAAGCAGAACTAAAGCAGAAAGTGCTTTTATTATTTTTGCAAAGCATTTAGCTTTGAGACAGTATTCCTTTGAGAAAATTCAAAACCTAATGTGATGAAAGGCAAGATCTAGATCCAAGTTCTTGCCTCTCCAGCCACACTTTTTAATAATCTTTCCACACAATGTCATGTAACATTACAATTTTGTGTATTCGGCATTAATCCCAGGTATCACCTCCAGCCTTCATCTCACTGCCAGCAGTCCTTTGGACAGGAGGACTGCGTTATGGCCTGGAAAGCAAACTTGCTTCTATACAGCGCAGTACTAGAACAAGGTATTGGGGGTTTCTCAAGATACCTAATATTTTTCTTTCTGTCACTGACCCAGAGATTAAGGAAAGGCATAATTTCATCCCAAAGTGTCCTGGATCATATATTGTCTCACAGAGCAATCAGCGATCTGCAAAGTTGTTCCATCTCTTCTTTCTACCCTTTAATACATAACAGTTAGGATAATGAAAGCAAAAGGAGTACTAGCAGGTCAATCCCAACGGCTACTCCCACCTCTAGGAACACAAAAGTTAAATTTGCACGGGAATGGGCCATGACTTTTTTTTTCCTGCTTCTGAAAGATGAGTCTTGGTGAACCCAACATCCTAGAACAAAGCATGCTACTGATCAGCCATAATACTGTATAAATGAAGGCACCAAATACTAGTGAGCACCTCCTTAGCAACACATCCTATTAAAACCTTAGAAATGTCTTATTTTTAACCTGAGAGTAAATGCTCTCACAGGAAACAATTAAGGTGGGCAGGTACGTGGCAGACAGGGGTATGGGAAGACAAAGCTTTACCTGAGAGACAGTTGACAGGTATCAGAAAAAGAAATGGTCTAGTACTGAACTGGTTGGGAGGAGTCTCTGGTGAAAGGAAGAAGCTGCCCTATGAAAAGGCTGATGGGACTCTGGGAAAGGGCCTGCTCACTCAGCAAAAGCTCGTCACATCCAAATGGCAAACAGCTGAACTCAGATGATCTGAGCACTGCTCTCGACTATGTCACGGAATTCCCAAGTCATGTTATCTTTTGCTGCCTCCCAATATCTTCATTTTATAATAGTAATAATGACAACTTTCCACCTTTGTAAGTTCTCGTAAGATCTATGGATGGGAATCACTTAAAAAGGGGTCAGTATTTTTAATTACTATGATACACTGTCCTGTAACCCAGCTAGTCTCTCTCAAAAGCCAAACAATAATCTAGTTCAATTATTAATTTATTATGACAGTACCTCATCTTTTGTCAGCAGTGGTCTTCAAAATGTCTTCTTTAGCTCTGCTCTCAACATACAACTTGTTTATGGTTCCATATGAAGCACAAAAATCAAACTGCTCTTCAGTACATCAATTTTTTTAACACATTAAAAAGATAGCATGACATGATATTGAGTTTTCAGTAAAACTCCATCCAATTTAAACAGATGTAAAGAAGGGCCTTCTTAAGCTTTCAAGCTAAAAAATTCACCATAAACAGTAATATAATCTGTGCAAGTAGCCGTAACCTTGTCTATGCAATTGATATATTAGTCTGTATTACTTATTCAAGTAGCAACTGTTCCATTTCTAGGCATTACAAGTATTGCCAGGAAGAGGTACCTCTTACTGCACATTTCTTTTCAGACTTGTTTCCTTTCATCTGGACTTCCTGAAACAATTACTGCAGTACAAGGGCTGGAGAAAGTTAGAAGTGGGAGACTAGTTTTAGCTCCAAGCTGAACCCAACTTCTTGTCACTCCTTCTGACTGGTGTAATAATGACAGAGCGATCAATTTCTTTTGTTTGGGGAATCTGATCAGCAAAGTATTTATTTCAAACGTGATTCTCTTCAGAGATCATTTGCAAATTGCTTCTTTCCTCTGCCCTTGTCAGAAACAAATGTCAACATAATGCTGAAGTCCAGGACACAGTATTTTACACCAGAAATACAGTGTCAGAATTTGCACTGGGGCCTTCAGGGACACAGAGGGTTTAAAAGGCTAACACATTAGTTTATAGAGGACTCTTGGTAGCAGAAGGAAAATTGATTTTGTTTCCCTGCCACCTAGCTCTCACAAAACACATTTTCCAATTTGTCATCTCATATACTTGGCTAGAAGAAGTAGTAATTTATTTCGATCAGATATTGCATACTGTTAATTCTAAAAATGCAAGGCAAAACAGAATAATCGGAGTTGTGAGAAATTTACTTACCTTCTACAGTTGCACCCACATGACAATGCTCGTGTTCAGGAATTATGGGCAGTATCTTTGTGGTCTGTGCAGTAAGTGGGACCTGTTGTTTGCTGGCTTGCACTGATGAAAGTTAAGATAATTTTTATCAATATTATTAAACAGCAAATACATCTGCAGCGTGTTAAACATTGAATCTGCAAGTTTGAAAATAATTGAGACCCATCTGAACACAAGGCAGACGTGGACAGCCAGTTTTTCAGTGGGGTTTCAGTGCCTTGAGGTGCAGATACATGTCAGGAACTCCTGAAAGTACTAACCATGTTTTCTAGTTAACTTCCTCTTGATACTAGTGGGACTACAGCATGCTGATCCTAAGTCTCCCTGGGAAGCAGATCGAAGGTAGGCAAGTAAATTGCTCTTGGAAATTTTACTAGTAGTGAAAATACAAAAGCATGCAAAGTTGGGGTTAACTAAGAGTTCTCCTAAAATTCAAAAGCCTACAGTTGGCCAGTTAAGCAGAAACACCTGAACTTTAGAGTGTGAGCTTTCTGATTCATTTTCACATAAGGGCAGCCCAGATTGCCACTCAGGAACACATGATGTGGCCTCAGCTAACTTGTCATACACTCAGGGAGAGCTACGGGGTTTCATCCAGTTGTTAACAAAGATGACAGCATGCACTCGGAAGCAGGGAGAGGTGTGGTGATGCCTTTAGCACACTGGCAACGCAGATACTGGTATGATATCTTACTGGGATGCAGATAAAGAAATGCAGAAATAGCATTGTCAAGCTAATGAAGTCAGAGCTGTTGATATAATGCATTTTTCAAAGAACCACCATAGAACACAAATAATATCTTAACTCCAGGTCCATCCTGTCCCTGACCATAATGTCTGTAAACCTACAAATGGGTTTTCTACTGAGTTCATAACAAGAGGATGAATTGTGTCACTTATATGTAGCTACATCCCTTCTCCACTTACTGTATCATTTGGGCTTCTCTCTTTACAAATGCAGTTAAAAAGTGGAGTTTTGATGTTGGTAATTAAGCAACTGAATAGGAAAAGCAAAGTTAAAATAAAACTGGGGTAGTTTTAAAAATAACAACGGATCTTGTTTCACACTCAGGATGAATCTGGAGAGAATGGGAATGTAGGCTGATTATCCCTTCAGAGCCTGTGTGTAACACTGTTCTGCATGCACGCAAACTGAGCAGAGAAATGGCCCCTTGTGCATCAGTGCTCTACTGAAAGCATACAGGGGCTATGAAAAGCTCCCTAAAATTACCTGCATCCTATAGATTTTATCCTCTGTTCTGAAACATAAAAAAAAGACGCAAAGCAGTAATAAGGCTTCACATTTTTCTCTGGAAATGTTGTGTCTCAGAAACATGTAAGTCTGTTTAATATTGAATATTGTGACAAGCTTTGGTTTTCCCAGCATTATTCATCTAAGCTGCAGAGGAAAAGACAGCTACTCAGCTATGTCAGGAACTGAGAAGTATCAGAATCAAATAGGTGATGCTTCACTTGGCCAAGATTAAACAAATTTCTCCTTTCTTGGCTTTGCATCTATTTGCTGCTGTAGAAGATGTCTCCTGCCTGTCCCCTTTGCTAAAAAGAAAATGTATTGCAGAATACAAGCAGGACTGAGTCTGAATTCACTGGGATGCCAGCCCTGACACTACTGAGCCAGCGTTCGCTTCTATTTCCAACCTGTCAACCAACCTGATGCTGTAGCAATACACCAGAGAGAGAGCAGAATTTCACCTATTTCTTCTAATCTTGTAGGAGAGGAACTATTGTTTTAATAGGATAGCACAGAAAGCAATACAGGAATTCAAATGACTGAGAGGAAATTTGTCTTGCTGTTTCTTATGTGCAAATTACAGCTGTCAAGCCCATTTATATCAAATGCTTTGGATGTCACAAAAATCTAAACAGTCCAGAAAAAACCTGCAGGCCAGAAACCCTGAGGTCTTACTCTCTGAGTCCTGGTTGTCACCATGATGCTACAATGACCTTCTTCCAGGATGAGTTATAAAATTACCATCCGTCAGAATTAACTTTGCATTACCGTGAGCCAGACAAGTGAGCCAGGGAATCCTGTACTCGTATCCTAAAATGTAATGAACGAAACTGTGACTCTGTGAGCCAATGGAGTATCACTGAAAATGAAAGAAGTATACCATTTGAGCAATGTAGAACAAGGCAGCACATTTGAACTACGGTTGACCACACAGAGTGTAGAGTAATAACATGATGGTATTAACAATATGACTCCCTGTCTGCACGGTTCCATTCTAGCATAGGAAAGGGAGCAGGCCTATCTTCCAATAGACCTTAATGCTGCTTTCAAAATAGAATTAAAAAACCCAAGGAATGTAATTCTTGTGCTAGGAAAAGAAGGTCTAAATGGGAATTTATAGTGGTAGACTTTTGGTAATATAAATTCACACTTAGTATAATCCATATAATTATATTAATGAAACTGCCATTATGAAAAGACCCTTCTAGGCAGATTCAGTCTAGGTATTAAATGCCCTGATTTATGCAATCTGTTTCCTGTGCAACTACTTCTTTTTTTTTAGTAATGTAATGTACAGTTCACACACACTGGCCTGCTCCCAACAAGTGATTCTGTGCCATGTCCCCAGGCTTATTTTTGTTTTAGGATACAGCTATATAGGAATAGCTATACTTAATCAGTTACTGGTAGTGGAAAAGGTACTGAAGTGGTTTAAGGAAAGTGGACTAAAGGAAAGGTATAACAGCAGGGTAAGTATAGCTGCCTTCCCTTTCTCCAGAACTGAGGCTGATTTAAGCAGTAAGCTGCACGTGCCAGTTTAGCAGTTTCTATCTGAGTTCTTTTAAAACACTGTGGGGAATACTGCCTAGTCCTTCTAATTGCTATTATTAATTTATTAAGTTTTTCCAAAACCTCTTCTATTGCGTCTTCAATTTGAGAAAGCTCCTCAAACAAATTCTTGCAATAAAAGTCTCTTATGTGGGCATCTCCCTAAGATTCTCTGTCATGAACACAAAGCAAGGAATTGCCTTTTCTTCTATGGATTATTTTCCATGTGCTACTACTATCAAGTCCTATTTGATACGAAAATGCTCTGTGTCTGAAAACACAGATCAGCCACTTAAAGAATACTTAATTCTTGCACTGAAGAAAAAGCACCCTATACTCTTTCCCTTCTCTTGTGGCTGCATTTAAGGGCAACTGAGTTTTGTCAATTCATACCATTCAAGGGACTGTTTTACATAAACACAATGGCAGGAACAGATCCAAAGTCTACAAACATGGTCTGTACAGCCCATGCCCTAGTGCATACTTTTTTGGCTTGATAGCACAGACAACGTTTAGTCAACTTTCATGACCAGAATGCTTTAAAGCTCCCCTATCCTCACTATGTGTGCTTAATCCCTTGTAGTACCATGAATTTGGAAGGCTGTAATTTCAATCCTGCCCTAGAGAACATACTATACATTTTTCCTCCTTTCCTCTGGCCACCGGGCTAAATGGTAATGATTCATGGACATAGAGCCACTAACAGTTTCACAAAACTAGCATCCCTGCTGTAAATTATCTTTTTGTAGGACCACAGTGATATTAAGACAGTAATTTCCTGAGTCTACTTAGGAAATCATTCTCATTCTCAAAGTACAGGTTTCCTTCTTTTGCTTCCCTTATCCTTTCTGAACTTTGAATAACCTTTTAGTAGTACCTATGCATCTTTTCATCTACATGAGATACTGTCACATCCTCTCAGACATGTAGTTATTTAGTCTTATTACAATGTTTCCAGGGTGGTTGTATTGTCTTCAGTGGATCTCAATGTTTTGTTTCAATATTCCAAGCTATGCACTAATGACAGTGAAAATATCATTGAGGCCTGTCGAAGAAGTCATCTATAGATATTTATAAACCATTATCACAGGAGCAAATCTTAAATTTAGCAACTGTGAAAAAAATAAACTCTTTTCATATGGTCTTGATTCTGCTTTAAATTATATTGGTATAAATTGGGAAATTGACTGGATTGACTGGAATTACAGTGTGTGAAATCAAGGAATTTCCTATTAAAATAAAACCCATTATAGCAGTTCATACAACTAAGCATCTTTCTGGGTTAAATGGATAGATTGAAGTGGGAGGAACATAGAAGTAAGAATGACAGACCAATATGGGATTCCTATTCTCTTCAGTAAAATCTAGTAAGACGAGATTTGAATTTCCATAGAAGTCCATGATAAAAAATGCCTTTGGATATAGAATACTAAAAATGCCTTTGTGAACATGCTGATAAAACAGGTATGGTATTAGTGAAGCTACTCAAGACAAAAGATGTCAGAAAGATAATTCCTTTCCTGCGGTATGAAAATAATGAGCTCATAAATACATCTTAGATGTAGCCAGTGCTTTAAAAGTGCGGAGCATAAATTGTACTCCCAGGAGAGTTCAGGCAGACAGGGAGCTATTCACTCTTTCCTAGGTAAAATTGAAATGCCATGATTTACTGAGTTGTAGAGAGAAATATTGAGTCTCCTCTTATTCCTGAAGAACCAACAAAACAAACAGGGAGGCACCCAAGCCTAGGCAAATTTAAAACCATTTTTTTTCCTTTGCTGGCTTTGTAGTTGTTGGTGTTTTGGAGAGAGGTCCATTTGCCATTCAGAACTATTATTCTATATGTCCATGTTAATCTTTTTAAAGATAGAGCTCCCTTCGTGAAACCAGAATCCATAGAATTTACTAAAGCATATGACTCTTCCAGCAATATCAGTAACACTCAGAGCTACGGTTGCTAATTTCCCCTCACACAAAGATTTGTTACCGAATCGTAATTTCTGGAACCAAAACTTTGAGTTTAGCCATGCCATTTAATTTATCTGTGCTAAACATAGTACACTCTCAGAAGACCCCATTTTAATTCCTATCTGAGACTAGAAAATTGTACTTAGTGGGAATTTTTCCCTAGAAATAGGCTACAAAGTGCCATAAGAGTCATTCTCTGAGTCCTGTTACAGCGATCCATTCCATCCTTTGGTAGCAGATTTTGTCAAGAGTCATAAACACAAAGAGCATACATACATGTGTGTATATGCCTATACTTTTCATACACACACAAAGCACTCAGCTGCCAAACCTCAAATGTGGCACACAACATGGTCAAAAATTAAAAGGAGGTAAAAAACCCAAAGTCATAAATGTAATGCATTTGGAAGACTGGGAGAAGCATTCCCACATGATATACATAAGTCTTCTTACAGTTTCATCGTCAGAATTATTTATTATTGATATAAAAATGTTTCCATAACATATGGCACATCAGATTTGTATAGGATCAAGGTAACTTGAAGCATCCTCTGACAGGAAAGACTTAAAAGGTCTTTCTTGACCTCCTCATACCTCAAGATTTGTTAGGTTTTTATTTTACTTGTATAGTACTGTCCTGGTTTCGGCTGGAATAGAGTTAATTTTCTTCCTAGTAGCAGGCATAGTGCTGTGTTTTGGATTTAGTAGGAGAAGAATGCTGATAACACACTGATGGTTTAGTTATTGCTAAGTACTGCTTATGCTAGTCAAGGACTTTTCAGCTTCCCATGCTCTGCCAGGTACACAAGAAGCTGGGAGGGGGCACAGCCAGAATCTATGATCCAAACTGACCAAAGGGCTATTCCATACCATATGACGTCATGCTCAGTATAGAAACTGGGGGGGGTTGGCCGGGGAGCAGCGATCGCTGCTTGGGAACTGTCTAGGTATCGGTTGGCGGGTGGTGAGCAATTGCATTGTGCATCACTTGCTTTGTACATTATGATGATTATTATTATCATTATTATATTGTTATTATTATCATTACTATTTTACTTTATTTCAATTATTAAACTGTTCTTATCTCAACCCAGGAGTGTTTCTCACTCTTACTCCTCCGATTCTCTCCTCCATCCCATCGGGGTAGGGAGAGTGAGAGCGGCTGCGTGGCGCTTAGTTGCTGGCTGGGGCTAAACCATGACAATTACTTACCAGGAAAAGGATGAATTTTAGTAGCAGGTATGGTTCTTCTTGCATGTCTAGAACTCTTTCTTCTTAGAATAGTAGAAACTGCCGCTACTCTGTGTTTAAAATCTGTTTTAAACAAAATACGTTATCTTCAACTATAGAATTACATATGGCACTGATCAGACAGAAAGCTGGTAAATACCTTATTCTTAAACTGTTAAACACCTTCCATGAAAAAACAGGAAGGTTTTGAAATAAGGTGATGAGGAAAACCTAGGGCCAGATGTTTTACATTTTCCTGAATGAAATTTTCTGGAAATTCCATTCAGGTTTGCCCCTTTCAAATTATTCCTTGCCTCCTCTATGCTGAACACCTTGAACAAAGTTTGGAAGGTTATCAAAGAAGTACATGTTCCAGTACAGGTTCACACACTGCTGACAGTGGAAAAGCAAGGATGGAGTGTACTGGCATCCTAGGAAGCTGAAAGATTCTTTGCAAGTGTGAGGTGTTCATCTTTGGAAGCACAGTTGGAGTGCAAGCTCTACACCACACAGAGAGAGAAAGATAGAGCTGGGTTGGACACCTCTGACTGTCCTCAGCACCCAGTTCATAAACTCCTCAGTCTTCCCATCCTGCTGCTGCTCTCTTAATATTGTGCTCTTGGTGGGGTTATTGCACTTGATCGTGCAACTGTTATGGTTAGCCCTGTTCTACAATGACAGCAGTTCAGGGCTCAGCCAGCTTCTGATGAGAGGCTCGCTCCAATTCTATATAACAGAATTGATTTTCATCTTTTTCTTTTGAGAACACTAGAAAACTTAATCTTTAAGAAATTCATTAAATTAGCATTATTTAGGTCATGATTTTTTTATGAATAGCCAGTGGAGATCTAATGCGCTGAAGCCCTAAGCATGCGCTGTAACAGTTAATGTCAAAGGAAGATCTGGAAGCGGTCTTAAGACAAGAGTGGAATGGAAAAGGCAAAAGGACTAATTTCTAATTTAGCTCCTTTGTCACGGATCTCTAGTAACCTCCACCAAGTTTATCTGGATATTTTATTTTATGCACTCATGGAAATAACTTCATTAATGTTTCAGAGATTCTCGAAGTCTGCCTAGCAGAATTTCTTGGAAGGTCTCAAGAGGAAATGAATAATTCTGTATTTCTTAACAACTTTCAGTAGTGCTCAGAAATTAAGAGAAAAACTACTAGCTGAATTATGACTGTAAAAATTCTTAGCAGCTGTTTTATGCACGTAGCAATATTTTGCTGTGTTCCTTGGGCAGCACTGAAAAAAGCAGACTTGCAATCAAAGATGGCATATACACATAAGGAATACAACCCTTAAATCTGATTTTTATGTACTTGTCTTTTTATCAGTAACATATTGATGTTGTTTATAATGTTATATATTGTAAATATAACTAATAAAAACACTATTACTCTATTAACAGCAAATGTATTCTAGAAGCAAATCAGTAATTAAAGCCTCAAAGGGGCATTTTTTCCTCCCTGCTTGTGTCCGTGACAGTTCTGAAAAACCTGCATTTAATAGAAAACTGACGTGTAAGAATAAAGGCAGTAAATTATTAATCATCACTACTAATAGTTCTGCATTAAAAATGGGATGTTATGACTCAAAGCATAGAAAATCATACTCATGACATTTATAGGTAGCTTTGAAATTACAAATAGAAGTCCTTTAAATGAGAGCGCTTAATAGCCCATTTATAAAGATCTAGTTTACACTTTGAGGGATTTTTAGATACATAAAATAGGTCTCAGAATCTGGGTCTAGCAATAAGTAAAAGATCATGTATTTTAACCAAGATAATCTCCTAAGGAGTTTCTCCACTCTTTTTTTTGGGGGGGGGTGGGGGGCACAGATTTGCCATTTTAAGCAACTATTTTGCTTATGCAAAAAAAGACAGAAATGTTTTGTGTGGGGGCACTCTTCTTCCTTCTGTTCATTTACAATTAAAGCTAGACTCCTATTGCTCTTTTGTTATAAAACCGCCTGTAGATACAGTAAGGATGATCAGGGGAATGGATATGGCTCATCATTTTTTTATTACCCCTGTGACCCAGGTCTCTATTCAGCAGCTCTGGACTACAAGGGGAATGGACATCTGCCTGGTAATAGCAACTAAATGCTGGTTCTCTGGAGGCATTCTGCCCACTCAGGGCTGACACTGGCAGAAAGTCTCAGGAAATTGCCGTGAAAAGCATCTAAGAGCTATTATCTCAGGTAACAGGTTAAGTAACACTCTTTTCACACTGAGGAAAGGGAGTGTGCTCCCTGTACCACCTATTTCTGACTTGGGATGAAAAAGAAAGACCAGCAGCTGACAAGCAGTCAATTTTCTGCATTGTTATTGTGCAGAGGACTTTATCTTGATTGCTCAAAAGTCTCTTGCTCAGGGTGCTCCGACACTTCTATTCTTGCTTTCTTCATTGTATATTGCTAGAAGAAATACTGTAAATCACAATTTCAGCCTGTACCCCAAGTGAACTGCATAGGAAGAGCCTGTCTTGGCTGGTGAAGGCGTTTTGGAGAAACAATTGTTTCAGTCTCTGAACTAAGGACAAGTTCTTTCATAGTAAAGTTTTAATCTCTTGGAATAGTCAATAGTGCTGATTCAGAAATCACAGCGCTATTTTCTTTGCTGAAATAACAGCAAAGAGAAGAAATGTTATCTGGGCTTAATTCAGCTCTGGAGTTAAGAAGGAACAGCTTGGTTGACCTGTATGGGATTACACCACAGCAGAATTTAGACAACCAGTTTTCAGGACAGACGGCTGAGTGCATATCTCCTCATAAGTATCCTGTAATTTTTCTTGACGATGACCTAGATGAATCATCTTCAGGAAGGAAAGTGTATTTCAATCTGCTTATATTGGTCATTGGCATTTCTGCTTAAGACCTTCAACAAGGTTCAACTGTAATTGTTTTATCTACTGGAATCAGTCTGAAAACAGAAGTTCATATCACTAAGGCTCATAGGCCACCAAGCATCTGTCAGAAGAAACATATTTCATTCACCATCAACAAGCTTGGATTTGCATCCACAATTCAGAGGTGAGAGGTGATAGTATCAATTATCAGAGTATTTCAATCCCTCTATAAGAAGCTTTTACCATTTTACAATTAAAATATTGGTGTCTGAACCACATTAATAATCAACAGCTTTGTTATTGTAAATGAATACATTTTTCATTGCATATAAATTTAAATTCACATAGATTACCATTTTGTTACTTACAGTTTTGTTCATTGTCTTGAACTATTTTGTAGATGACAGTTGAAATAGTGAACACAAAAACTACTAGAATCATAGTGACCCAAATGATCTTCGTCATACACATTGGATCTGTCCATAAAATGTAGAAGAGAGAAAATGAAGCAGGAAATCACTGGCAGAAAAAAGCAGAACAATCTATTTGGCTAGGTTTTTGGAACATGCTTATCCCCACAGATGAAAATTTAAAGCAAAAGAGAAGATTATGCCTTTTTCTTTCAGCCTGCTTTGTTGATTGAAATTAAGTTTCCTATCTAGAATTTAGCTTCATTTTCACCTGTATCTATCTTCCCATATCTGAAACAGTTATATATAGCTAAGTGAATGAAAATTTTTCCTATTTGTATAAACTGTTATATGCAACTCAGCCAGGAAGAAAATGCTTCAAAGATCAACATTTATATTTAAGGTAGAACAAGGGTAATATATATCCATCCCCTCTTTGTTTGGATGGAGCACAGAAGGAATTTGGTCCACTGTCCAACACTGGCCTGTACTGGCATTCTCAACCTCTTGGTCTATCCTCATATACAGGAGAAGGTAAGATTCTACATATAGAAATTTTCTTATCAAAAAGTGAGGAAATGCCACCAACAGGACCCCTCTGGGGAGTTCTTTTAACCAAAGCTGCCTTGGGGGAGAATCAGCGTGAGACTGGGTGTAGGAGGTAGGCTGCTCTTTCGGACAACAGCTGCTGCAGAAATGCACCCACATTCCGCAGGGAATTAGTTCAGTAACTGGTACAAGGCAGGACTATATACCACAGAGAAAGGACATGGGGAACTTTCTTCCCTGCTTGTTTGAAAGACCTTTCAAACATCTTTGGCAGCTGCATGTTAATGCATACCTTAGCATTGTCAAATAACTATTTTAAAAACCAACTCTGTTACTATGACTCATATAAAATCAAATTAGAGACTATAGCCAAACCACTGCTTTCCTTTCCTTGACTTAGAATAGGATAATTAGAGCTGCATCAACTTCCCTTGTGTTTCTCCTCCGCTGAGAAGTCATGAGGTAACTGCCAATAACCCCATGGCTCTTTGAGGTATGCACAGCTCATCCCTCCTAATTCAGAACTAAAAATATCTTTTGGGCAGTTATTTAGGCTCCTTTCAAACAGAGTACTCTACCCCATCTTGTAGTGACTTGCAATGATTTGTGTATCAACCTTGCCTAGTCAAAGCACTGAGCCCCTCTCTAGCTTTGTTTTGAAGTAAATAGAAAAAAGATGTGCTGTTAACTTTTATTGTTAATTTGAGATAACCACTTCCCAGGTAAATCACCATTAGCAAAGGTGGTTAGCTCATGTTTTGACACAAGTTAGCAGGGCAAGTTACAAACTATACTCCTCTCATAGCTAGACCTACTTATTTAAAAAAAAAAACTAAGCTGCCCTCTCTTCTCTAGGATTTTACCTGGACTTATTTAACATAGGTTTAGCCACCTCCAAAACACGTATTTTTTCCAGCAAAGGTACAGCATAAAATGCATTTTCCATACAAAACTAAACGAATGTAATAATTCAGCAATTCCCAGATGGCAAGCGTTGCATATAGACGTGCTGGAAGCCCTGACCATGGCAGGCAATCAGCCAAAAAACTCCTGCAGCACAAAGAGAAATTTAAAAAGCTGATGTGCTGTCCTCTGAGAAAACTAAGGCTAGTTCAGCTGAAGATTTCTCTTTTAAGTGTACTGCAGTAAGGCTGTATAGTAGGATACTGCAGTATGACATAAAGAAAAGTCAAACCTGTCTCCTGGTTCTTCTGCCACTGAAGTTAACAGGAATTTTTTAATTTACCTCCAAGACAACAGGGTTATGCCATTATGGGGGAGGGGAGAGGAAAGAGTAATTTCAGCTTTTGTCATACATGCAATTTGTGAGTCTGTCACTGCTAAGCAAAAAAAATGTACAGACACTTACTTTGCTGTGTTGCTTCTAGGAAAGAAAAAGCCTGCTTTAAATCACTATAAAGATTGTCAGTTGCATACTAAAGGTGGTCTTTTACTAAGGGATGATCAAAATTGTATTCTTTTCTTGTGAAAAGAATAAAAGAATCTTTTCTTGTGAAAAGATTAAATACTTTCAAATGGTTGCTGAAAGCAGAGAACTACCTACTGGAAATTTTTTGCAAGATTCATATTGTTTCTGGTTTGATTTCCATTCTGACCCTCTTTTGTAACTTACATTCCACGTAAGACTTCAGTTGCAGTGAAATATTTATACAGTCACTTTGGTCTTCCATCATTGCCACTAGACAGGAATGATTTAGGTATTCTTCGGCTGCATTTCTTCTTCTGAGTATAGAGTTGTTGATGTGGATTTCCAGCAGGTAGTCAGTATTATGCTCTACTTCTTCATTCTCAGAAACTGTAGTGAAATTAAAATATTTACAAAAATAAATAATATCTTTTGTTTTCACTTCAAGTGAGCCTTTTGCTTTTGGAACTAAAAATTAAAACAAAACTGTTATATAACGTGGTAGACAGAGACAGCTCTCAGAAAGAACAATAAAATTAAGTTCTCTGTCTCATTTGCAAAAACATACAGTAGGCTTTTACATTATTGACTATGATAAAATGGACAAAAGGATACCATGTAAAGTTATTCTGAACAGATCTGAAGAGTATTGATTATCTATACAAAATATATTTCCCCTGCAAATTACAGCCCCTTTTTGCTTTACTACCATCTTCAGAGCTTTTCAGTTTTTTGTTGTTTTGTTGCCTGTTATCAAAGGTAACAGAGACAAAAATCAGGCTATGAAAAAAATAAAAACTAAGTAAACGCCATATGATGATAGAGATTTGAAGTGTACATCTATATCTGCTATCAGTTGCAAAAGGTCTTTGTTTCACTTCAAACCACACAGGCTGTGAGACTTGCATAATGTTAACAAGAAACATAGCTGAGACATTATCAAAAGTAGAGTTGTATAGGTGTAAGTGAGAACAGAGTTTGTCCATATATTTTTTGTTTTGTTATTTTCCGTACTTGTTAAGACAGCTATTTCATAATAAGAAAATGATGCATTTGGAAAAGAACTGCATGTCTTACATTTGGGACTTGGCCTGTTGCCCCTGTCACTGACAATGTTAGGAAAGCAAAATTCAGAGGCATACTCTTCCCCAAAAGTTTCCAGATACTTTGCAAGTCATTATGGCACAGAAGGAATATGCTGCTACTGCTCTGAAAAGATGTGGATGTTGCTGAACTCTTTCTTATCTGTATTGCCATGCCAGTCCTTATTCAGTGCTGCCTTCCATGAAACATACAGGGCCATTTCTGATACTACACAGTTGTGGATATCACGGACTACAAGCACAAAAATCGTTATTTCTTGTAGAGCTGCCATCTGAATAGTTACCATCTTTGAATTAGTTCTTCAGATACTTGCTCACAACCTATCTTCATATAATATCATCAATCAACATGTAGAGTTCCACAATGACATTTAAAAGCAAATTCAGTGTGAAAACTGATCAGAAACTACAACTCCTTAAAAATAAATGAAAAATTTTAGAAAATTTAGCAAGATTAAAAGAATAAAGATGGGGATATAAAAGCGTTCATAAAAGCCAGGTGGCAGAGGTCAAATTTACAACAGAAATATTCCAGATGGCTGCTGGATAAGGCGCTCTTTTCTCACAGCACCCTCCTTCCAGACCAATACAAAGCCCCCTGAAGATAATGACATCCCCCCACTGCCCCCGATTTTATACAAGATCCTCAAAGAAAAGAAATCAGCATTTTGCTACCAACATGTTTCACTGACAGCCAGGAATGAATGCCACTAAGAATTTGGCACAAAACCTGCATTTTCTAGCCATGCAAAGACAAGCTAAAAACCCCCATTGTTCATAGATTTTCAAAGACCATTGAGAACCAGCAGCATATCATATTTTCTTTTAACTACCAAATGAAAACATGTCTTTATGTTGTAATTAACTGCTTCAAAATTAGGTATTTCTCTTCCCCTACTTACTTTTTTTAGCTACTGACCCTGGTCCTTGATGATCAACATTCACGTCTCTCTTGGATTCACACTCTGTGTGTTTAGTATGGGACTGTTGTTCCCTCCTGGAGAACTGACAAATACATGGAATATTTTGGAAATTGGAATGGTTTACAATGGCCTTCAGTAAAATAGTCTGGTTTTCTCTTCTTCGTTGCAGTGATCTTTTGCAAGAATTGTTAAAAGTACAAAGTGGAAAAGTGGTATTACTTGATGAACAGGTATCCACGCATGACACAATTACAGTGTTAGCTGTAAAAAAATAGAGTACTGTATAAGCAAGACAGTCATGTAGGACACAGGGACAAATATGTGCATGGAAGCATCATGTAACAGATACATTAACCATCTTACAATGAAATGCACTTTCTTTCTTAAGGTTTAAGGCAGCATATTGAATGCATCAACAAGTGAGAGAGAGAAAGCAAGCACAGCGTTTTCCCACAACCTCGATCCTGGATTTTATTGCTGAATTGTACAAAATCTCTTGCAATAGTAACTTGAATTTGTGGTGGTACCTCGTCACGTTCCTGTTTCAAAGCTGCTCCAATTTGATTGTACTTGAAAAGAAGGGGGAACTTAGCCCTGGAACCATGCAGTTGCAACGCACCAGTGCAATTATGTTGTAAAATAGCTATAAACAGAACGAAAACTTTCTTTCCAATGACACTGAAACCACGCAGTGAAAATACACAGAAATGCTGCTGAATCCTCTGACCACATCCTTCACATTCTCTTATATTCAGTCAGCAAACATGAATCTTAATTATGACCATTGGTTTTGGTATTCAGTCAAATTTCAGTATCAAATTACCGTAGCTAGAATACATTAATGCAGTTCTGGCAAGTAGCAAAAAACACATAGAATTAATTATTAATGAGTGTTATTTTAGCTGTCTTCCACATTGAAGTAGGGCTTTACTGTACAAATTGTGAATTTTTATTTGAATTAACTTTGAACTATTTTTTCAACGTGAAAAGAAATTTAAGAATAAAAAACTTTTGGAACCCCAACATGAAATATGTATTTATGAATACAAATAACCACTTCCTGGAGTTGATGCAGCACTAACCCATAGTTTTGTAGCTGAGCTCCCAATTCTAGTAGTACCCTTCCATCTCTATGAAGAGGAAATTTTGCATCTAACTCCTATTATGAGGAATTGGAGTAATATGTTCATAAATCCTTGCGTAGAGAAAAAAACATAGCCTTTAATCGCCCCAGTGCTCAGCCGCAATCTGACAGCTTCAACAGGCCACCTGTGCTCACATCGCAGCAGGCTGACCTCAGAAACAGTTCAGTGAAGTATTTCAGACAGGATACAGAAATAAAATCCAAAATCCAACAGCAAAGTCAATTATCTTCCCTTTACTAATGCTACATCAGAGAGTCATAAACTCCTCATAAAACATAATAAATTGAAATGTAAGATACACATCCTATGCAGGTGAGAAAATAATTCATTTTAATACAAAAAGGAAAAATGTCAGACAAAATTTAGGGCTTGATCTTTCCCTGAGGCAAGTCAAAACATTTTCCTTGAAATGCTTGTGATCTGACCCACGCAACCTGGAGTAGAGCAGGCTCTTGAGGTCAAATTCTTCAGCTGAAGGAGGCTTTTTTGCAGAGCTTCTCTGTGGAGATGAGCCAGGAGCAGAAATCAAATGCTTATTCTGCTCTCATGGCAAGGCGCGTGTGCACCTGGGCAACCAGTCTAAAACCACTGCTACAGCTCTCAATGTCAACTAATGGTAATTCCCTACCATATCCCTTTCACCAAGAAATTTGTACATGGGACTTGGGAATCTGCTGACTGTGCTGTGACAGCAGTCTACGTACAGCACTATGAAGTCCATTTCAGACTTCACACATGGCTAAACAGGCTGCAGAGCTGCCTGTGAACCGTGTTGTAGATATGTAAAAGGCCTGTTATCCGAGTGGAAAAAGTTTGAATGCTGTCCTGTTAGGGAGGGTGCTTACCATCCTCTTGAAAGATCTCTACTGAGAAAGCCATTCAAATTACAATCTAGCATCAGTAAACTTTATTTTCTTCCAACTCACAGGACTGCGGACTTTCTAGGGAGTGTTATATGTATGGTTGAACACTGTGAGTAGGGCTGCAAAAAGACTAGATTTCCCACTGGATTACAGGGCAGACGGAGAGCGTTTACCCACAACTGGCTTGCTCCTCACTGCAGGACTGGGAAGCACCCTCCCAAATGTAAACATCACTAGAAATGTGGAAAGGGTTTTGTGAAATCTGAACGCAGACAGCCTGAAGAGTTAAGAGGATCACTGAGATGAAACCATGCAAAGTATCTCTAGGAAACTGCTGTATTCAAAGATCTGTAACCCGCATGGTTGATGTTAGGAAGTTCTGTGATTACGAAATTCCTTTGTTAAGCCTCTGTTTACAGGGTGTTTTTCCATAGAAAACCCAATTCCATTAAAATGAAATTATTCACTCTCCAGTGTTTGACAGTAAGGTCAATGTTTTCTTCTGGTAATAGTCATTTCATTGTTTATTTGCATAGTCTGTGCTAGCAAATACTTTGATTACTTCTGCAGGGAGATAAAACATTAATTATTCCAACATCTTAAACTGAGTCATCGATTTTATGATATTTGAAACTTATGACAGCTTACCAAGTTTGTTCATTTAAAAACTATAAAAATCTATAAATGATATTCTAGTTACTGTCATATTTATTCTTTGTGGTTAATGAAAATAGAAATGTAAACAGAAGTAAGCCAATCTGGATATATTTTTATATTAATTTTTTTTTCAGAAAATTGTGCTTCATAAATAATTTATTTGATGATGCCTGGGAATACAGACCATTTGTCAAAGGGATGCTTTTTGTTACAAGTTTTATCTCTTCAGAAGCTTACTTAGGAATGGATGTGACAAAACTATTTTAATATTAATCTATTTACAGATTTTTAAGAAAGCACTGAACGCATAACTTCCACACATATATTTTTCATTCATCCTAAATCCAGTATCGACCTTTAGGATCACCAAGATGTATCTGGGATTTATGTTAAAAGACTTGCTTCACTCAGGTACACCTATTCCGCTCTACTTCTTCTCAGGTTACCACTGCATATCTCTTTCACAGACAGCATCTCATATCAGATAGTAACTGTACAAAGTTCTATAGGCATTTAAGTATAGAAACTTAAAAAAAGTTATTTTTTAAGACATGAGTACCTGCTATAAAAGAACATACATACTTTAACTACTCTCTTCATGATGAAGATAGTAAAAGTACAGTTGCATGGAAATAGTTACCAAAAATTTTACAGTCTACATAAATGAATGACAAACTCCTTTCAAATTACCACATATAATTAACTCTGTTGGTTAAAAACCTAACAAAAAAAAATCTATATGCTTTGTAAAGTCCATATGAGTACAGCATCCCAACTATCGCTTTTAGGAAAGCATGTGCCAACTTTTCAGTTGCAATCAGACTTTAGGATAAATAAACGGCAATTTTAAAAGCTGATCACTCACCTTCGTGGACTCTGAAAAATTCAGGTAAACATAAAATAAACATGGTAATTATTCCTAGTACTAATCTGAAGAGTTCTGATTTTCTCAAAAGCAAGCACATGTCACTGAAGTACTCCCATCTAGGATAGTGGTGGTAACTTCCTTCCTGGTTTAGCTTTTAACTTAGTGCAGACTCTATGCAAAATAACGTCTATTCATTTCCTTTTTCTAATATGACTTTTCTTTTTACTTCTCATTAAGTTGTAGAGAGCCAAGTTCTGTTTCTACATTGGCATAGACGAGGATGATTCAAATGAATAAGCTGAAGATAAACTTCATGTACTACGATGAAAATAAGAGAAAAAATCATGCACAGAAACTATTTTATTCATTTGGGGGAGTTTTGTTTTAGGAACATCACCCCCTAATGGCCACTTTCATATACCTTCTAAACAGTAAACAAATCATCTTTGTGAAGGAATTTTGTTCTCATTTGGCCAAGAAGATTTTTAAAAAATTAGTCAGGACCTCATAAAAATGAGTCAGAACCACATGAGTCAGATATGGAGAGTTTATTGTTTTATTTATATGCATATGCACATGTATTGGGGCCAGGGGGAAGATAATTTTATGTAATACAGAATCTTTAAGACTTTAATAGACTATTAATTTGATCTTTACAACTTAAAGTTTCTGATCTGGCAAATAAGTGATGTACTAAGTACAACGAACTGAGTGTGAGACGTTCATATTATCATTGCTGTTGTATTTTTAAAAGATAACAGATGTGTTGCCAATCTGTACAGTGTCTTTTGTGTGCATGTTACTATCCTTTACACCACAAGAAGACTTTATTATTCCTATACATTGTAGTCACAATTTTTCATCTAAACTTTCCAGTTAAAAGAGTGAAGTCTTTCATTCTGACAATGACCGTGATATTCCACAAATTCTTCTTAGAGAAGAGACTGAAAAGAACCTTTCTGAAAAGTTTGGAACAGAAGTACTCTGAATAGTGCATATGCAAAAACAAACAATTTGACTCAAATCTGGAGTATATACAGTACGATTTAATTAATTCAGAAAGCTCTCTTCTGATATAGTATCTTTCCTACAACCCATTATATATTGAGTACTACCAAAATGAAGCTATGCTGCTGAAGTTAAAATAAGAAATGTCCTACAAACCTGAAATTCCCTTCTTGCCATCTAGTTATCTCAGAAGATGAGTAAGCCAGGTGGAAGCAAATACAGTATTGATTCTATAGAAAGACTCTTAATGGAGCTGTAGCAAATACAAATTTGTTAATATGATATTTTAAATGTAGCAGTTTTATGCCATGAAAGCAACGAAACCAAAGCAAAATGAACTGATTTTTTTTTTTTTGACAGTATGGTACAACAGAAGTAATAAGGATACAAAAAACCATAGGTATGAATTTTAAAAGTAAAATACACCCACTGCGCAATTTATGTTTGTCATCTGTTACCAAATTAGCTCTACTTTGTGAGAGACTGCATTGCCCCTTAAGTATCTTCCGTATCAGTTATTTACATTTTCCTGGTTTCAAGGTTGCATGGTGTTCACCCATCCTTTCTGCCCAGAAGGAATGGAGAAAATACTGGAAAATAACAGGAGGACTTTGTCAAGTAATATGTGTATCTATCCGTTTCTGATACATTCAGACTTTCATCCTTGTCGGTAGTGCCCAAGGTCAGAATAGAATAGAAAGCACTCTACAGGATCACACACAAGTTCAGTTTGATATAATAATATAATAATATATAA